AGTCATGAAAATAGTTCTCAAACTAAAACAAAAAGGAAAATCCTAGACTTGCAAGAACTTTACCACATATATAATGAAAGGTAAAAATATAGACTTGAATGCATTATTAGTTGGTATTAATCTTACAACCGACCTTGAAATTATAATCTTTCAGATTCAGAAGCATCAGAACTTAGGCCCATCAGATGCCCACCCAGCCTTTTATCCTATCCAAGCATATAGCATTCTGAGTTCTTCCTTTTAAAACTTAACTGATTCCTAGAACCATTGTTGTCAAACACATATAAACACTCCTGCTCAGTTTGCCTTAGATTTTATCTCCAAGAAAAGGACAAAAAGACCTTGTTAGTGGCTTTTGGTTCATTACGTCTGTGATATGTCCAAAGTTATTACCTTTAACGAAACAAACATCAAGTTGGTTCACCTAATGCACTCCAACTAATGAAGTACTTTCATTTACAGATACTTTGAAGCTCAGGAGACTGCAATAATTTCCAAGAATTGTCTGAAATGTAGTTTTTCGTTTTCTTCATCCTATAAGTTTTTAACATATTGCTAATTGGCCAAAAGAAACCTTAGTAAAGCTACTCAGGAGGATTAGCCACACAAAACCAGGGTACACTTTAATTTATTTTCATGAAACTCCCGTAAGCTTTACAATGGCCAGGAAACAGAACATAACCGTGATCAATTCTAAAGACTGATTGGCTGGTTGCAAAGAAAAGCAGAGTACAATACTGACAATCATAAGCAACAAAGGGCAAGAAGTGGAAATTTATGGAAAGTGTAATACCACTACGGCCTAACCTTGTATAAGCAAAATGTAATACCTTTTTTGTTTGAGATATATGCCCAACAGCTGATGATATGCACAAAATTGCAAAAATAATTAGCATAAATATTACAATTTCCAAAACAGTTAACCAAAACAATACAAAATAAACACCCAAGTCTTGCCTGTCACAGACGCAGTTCCACCCAGCAGCTCATATAGTGACTGCAAAAACTCTTTATAGAATAAAACAACACCTACAATACCAACAGCCCAAATCACAATTCTCACAATTGAATGAGTGACAGAAAGAAAGACACACCTAAACACCCAAAAACACACAAACCCACCTGGATTTCCAGGGATAACTACAACATGCAGTGTTGGATCGTCAGCTCGAATCTCCAGTATTTCAGTAGCGTAACTGAGCAAGACATCAAACAAAAAGAACCCATGTAAAAATAATCGCCATTATAACAAAGCATAAAGGATTTGAAAGCAAAAGCAAGCACCTTGACACATTGCATAAACGTAATGTTGCGCGCCTCTTCACTTGAATCACTTCACATTCTGAACTGTCCTGGCCCATTTCTCTGCTCGCACAATACAATCTACACCTTGCTAAGTATCAGAATATAACTATCAGAATATCAATGTATCATACTGCTGGCTAAGTACCTAACTCCCTAACTCTACGAAACTATGAAAGTTAGTACTTCCAGGTGTCTTTCTAGCCTAGCTTCCTAAGTGGGTAGGTAGCTATTTAATTTTAATTAAGTTAATGCTACGAAGTACAGAAAGGTGAGGGAAATGGAAAAATACCTTGAACGGGAAGAGACTGAGAAGGGTCGGGCAATGGAAGGAAAGAGCCGGAGGAGCATTTTTCTGTATTTCGGTATTTTGTTGCTTACTTATATGCTTTGGAAGTTTTTAATTATTATTTGTTTCTATTTTTTTTTGGGTCAAATTTAATTTCAGCATAATCTCTTTTACTTTATGACATCTTCCAAAATTGCAGAACATGTTAAAACACTATATTATTCATTTCTACATCCTCAATTATAAAGGTAGGTTAAACATACTCATAATTAGCGTTATGCTAGCATAGTTAAAAGAGCTATGATTTGGGATACATTGTTAGTATTTTTACTCTTTAAAGTAGATTAACACTTTTATTAACGATTAGTACATTGTCAACTATAAAGGTAATAAATAAGAAATGATACACCTAGCGAACATTTAGCAAGTCGGGTAACTAAAAGTCTAAAATATAGTATTTCTTAATTATTGTTGGGACGAATAGGCTAGAGAAGTATGGGTTAAAAAGCCATATACGTTCCTATGTTGTGAACCATAAAAAATTTCACATATTTCATCAGTTCTAACAACATATGGTAAATAGGATTCTACTACCATAATGTATCTCCTTACAACATCCTTGTACTCTATTTTTTTGGTCGAAAACATACTAGTACTTTAACTCCTTAAAGAAGTGGGTTGAGCTACAACCTACCTCAGCCAAAGTTTGGGTCATCATTAGTGCCTGCTTAAATACATCCTCTCATCTAACATCCTGTTACATTAATTAATCAACTATAAACAAACTATTATATAGTTATGAGACTGATCACCCATAGTGCGTGTTTGATAACAAGACAAGATAGTTTGGGTTTTTCTTTTTTATTTTGTTGAGCCCGTGTTTATTTTTCAGGAGAGAGATCAAGTTGCACACATCAACTCGAGGTCATGTGTTCGAATCTATCCTTACTCAATATCATAAATAGTGATCATACAAACTCGTGGATGACATGAAGATCATTTTCACACAGGAAACAGAGAGGGGAGCAGACTTGGAAGCATAACGGACAAAAAGGAACTCTCAGTTCATTTTCGAGGAAGTTGCAGGAAATTGAAATGTACGCACACCATATATCAAACAATTGCTTCTTGGTTCATTCCACCTATAAACATGATTTGTTTTTAAGTTTATATTACTTGGGGAGAAAGCGAAATCTTATTAAGGAACAAAAGCCATGGATTAGTCCATACGTTTGACTACTGCTGATAAAATTAGTTCCACAAATATATGTTTATTTTTATGATTGTCCATTAATTATTAATTAGTTGTTGTCTGGTTGGCCTAATACAACAACTTTCCAGGATGCATCCAATATCAATTTCATCATGGTGGGGGATAAATATAATTAAAATTTGACTCATCCGAAACCTTTTTTTTTTTTCGAAAAAAAAAATTTATATTAAGCCGGAATTCTTCGTACAACATTTGTATACAATATCCTTCTTACAATAATCTGTCACTTAATCTACAAAGTTAGATTTTGGTTGCTTTGTGAAGTTGACTGTCGTTTGACTACTAAATTATTGTTGCATATAAATTGGGATAACAAATTGCCTTTACATAATGGACATTATCTATAATACATTAAAGTATCTTTCCTTCATTTTTCTAAAGCAAGGGTAAAATTCGAGCTGTTCTACTTTCCATGCTATAATGGCCAATTTCTCTTAACAGGATCTTCACATATCGGTACAACAGAAAAAGGTACTTTAGTCGAGTTTGTAGCTCAAATAATTAAGAGTATTTCTGCAACCGAAGTCCTAGGTTCTCTGTCCTCCAATATTGTTTGTATGAAAAAGAAAAAGAAAAAGCTACTTCAAGGTTTTCTTCCTCTTTTTTTTTTTTTTTTTTGGGGGGGGGGCTATTATCTTCCTCTTTTTTATTGTTTGCCAAAGTTGGGAAGAGAAATGGGGGTCTTCTCACACACATTACCAAGGTGTTACGAGGATTCGAATATGAGATCACTGATTTACAAGTCAATATCATTTTTCACTAACTTGGCGATGTTGGCATCTTCCCTTATTTGTTATTGACCAATGGCTGAAGTCCTTATTTGTTAATGACCAATGGCCGAAGTTAAACATAGTTGGATCGGACCTGACCAATTCAATGGTAGTACTATAAAATCCCACTTAAAAAAAGATGGGTCAACGAAATGTTAACTGACAAATAAACCCTTATTCCATGTGAACAATCTGATAAAGTTATGTCTGCTCTCCCTCAGCTGTTTTGTTTCATCATGTTTCTGTAGTGGATTGCCATTGACTTCCCAACCTATAACTATCCGAGTCGTTGGATGAAACAGTTATTTTATTTTATTTTATTTTATCAAACTTTATAAGACTCAATCCCATGGCAATTCCACTAGATGAAGATGCATTTTATGATTAAGTAGGTTTTGTTTCTCGGAAGCATCATGCATGCACATCTCTTGTGCATTGGATGTTGACTAAAGGTATAAATAAAAATAAAAATTATTAGGAAAATTGTGTACGATGTTCTAACTACGTGATAAAACTTAGTGACAACATTTTATGATGATGATAATCGTTTTATTATTATTATTTTTTTAAAGCACATGACGTTTTTTAACTGAATTGTTTTGTCACCCAGCATTTACACATGCCAAGAAGGAAGAGGCCGTAAAAAATATCCAAACAATTTTTTTCTTGTGATAATATCATTCAATTAATATTTGAAACAATTAGTCTTGTTCCACTTTATTGAAGAACATCTTGAGTTCAAATTTTGTGGACAATTATTTATGTTGTTAATTTTTTATATATATAAAAAATTGTTGAGGAGGAAGAGAAAAATGACTATTTTAAAGTGATAGTAACAATTTTCAAAAAATATATGTGAGTCATATTAGACGAAATAAAAATAAATAAATAGATAAGCAAATTCCAAATCATTTCCTACGTACCCTCTGGTGACTGGGTGCTTTCTACATGGAATGACAAAAGTGTCCTCAACGAAACTCAACTGCCAAACGGTAAACCAGTCATTGATGAAGAATCCCGAGAAATCCCTCCGGCAGAATTGCGTGTAAAAATGATAAGGAGGCGTCCATCGCAAGAAATCCTCTTTAGTTTTCTTTAATTTTAATTTATTTTATATCCCAATCGCTGTTCATCTCTCATATCTCTAATCCTCTGTTCTTTGTTTATTATTAATAACTAAAACTCCCCAAAACTCCATTGTATATATATAGATTCGCAGACCCAACCAAAGATTTATACCATTTTTAGAATTTGCCTATTTCTTCCCGTCTCAAACTCCTTGCGAATTTGTCTCATTCTTGCTGATCCTCTCTTTCTCTCTCCTTGAACACATTCCTTCACAGAAATCATAGATTAAAACCTATTTCTTCCAAAGAATAACAAGCCCTTCTGGTTGGTGATTGGAACTCCTCAAATGGGCATTTTGGGTTCTGGCTTTCTGAAACTTCTTTCCTCTTTTTAGCTTGCTTAAAACCAGGTAATATATCAATCAGCTTTTGCTTTCCTTTCTGGGTTTTGAATTCATGCATCATTTTGTTTTTGTGGCCATTATTAATTAATAACTCTGTTTCATGTTGCAGGAATTCAAATATATATTTATATATTTTGTGTGGTGTTTGATGTTAAAGGGTTAAAAGATGTTGGGAAGCTTGCTTACCAGATGCCTTATGTATGTTTTATATTGTCTGTTGAGTTTGGATTTGGGTTTGTTTTGATCTTCGACTTCACCTTTTTTTATTTTCTTTTTGGTTTCTTGCTTGCTTTTGTTGAATGTCTCTCTCTCTCTCTCTCTCTCTCTCTCTCTCTGCAGAATGTTTCTTGGGTATGCATACCCTGCATTTGAGTGTTATAAAATTGTGGAGAAGAACAGAGTTGAGATTGAAGAACTCCGGTTTTGGTGTCAATACTGGTACGTGAAAAGCCTGTCCCTAATTTCTGCCTCTTATTGTAAGACTGGCTTTGACCAATTCATTTTCATGGGCTTTTTCTCTTGAAAATTTTGGCACTTTGATTGTCATCTCATCCGGCATACAAACTTACATATATCCTATATTCGATTTTAAATTTAAAAACACTTGGTTTTACCTTATATGGGAAAATATGCATCTAGCGTTCACTTTAAAAACCTTGACAAATTATACATATTTGATTTTTACTTTTAAAACTTTAAGCGGTATCTACCAAAACCTGTCACGTGACATAGAAGTCCCCGCTAAAGTTTTTCTCGGAGTTCTTCGTCATCCATAATTGTTGTCACAACAAAATATTTTCCAAGACAAAAATTGGAGGGAACGAATGCTTTATTGATTGGTCAATTGCATCGCCATACATGTGATGAAATATGGTTCATGGCCTTATCTACTCCATTTCCTTGTTTTCATTGTGGGTCGCTATTGATGTAAACATACCATTGAAAACATTTTGGTGACTTTTTTGTGGATTGATGATTTTATCTCTTTAATGTTATTGGCATGTTTAATTGACCTCCAGATTGGTATGTCCCATTGAAGGCATGCCTCTACCATATGGCCCCATATATCTATACAGATAGATATAGGGATCTATTTGCACAGAAAAAGGTCAAATAATCATAGCAAATAATAACAGAAGCGAAGGGATGTTTTTAACTTCCAAAATCTTTTACAGGATAATTGTGGCCATGCTTACAGTTCTAGAGAGGATTGGAGACGTTTTCGTTTCATGGTACAAATCACTCTTACACTCTCTACCCTAATTGATTATATGCTTGTTTTCATCATTTACGTTTTGATTTATGCTAAAGTAATTTTTCTGAAATATGAAGGTTGCCCATGTATGGCGAGGCGAAGGTGGCCCTTTTTATCTACCTCTGGTATCCAAAGACCAGGGTAAGAAAAATGTTTTTCTTTTTTGAGATCATTGGTTGCATGCAACCAGTCTTTTACATTACTGTTCGTGTGCTAGTCACGTGATTAGTTATTGCGAGAGACCACTTAATAGATGTAATTCATGTGAACACCTTTTGAATTTATGTTGTAGGGAACTGGGTTTGTGTATCAGACACTGTTGAGGCCATATGTAGCAAAGCATGAAACAGACATAGACAGGAAACTGCTGGAGCTGAGAGCAAGGGCCTGGGATTTGGCGGTTTTCTACTGGCAAAACTGCGCCCAAATGGGCCATTCAGCTTTCTTCCAAGCCCTTCAATACTTGGCTTCACAGTCCTCAAAGTTCACCAAAACCCCCGCCGAAGAGGTAGGTACATTATCAACATTTTACACACAAGTTGCAAACACAAACAAATTCCACATAAAAGAAAATGAAGATTCAAACTCTTCTGGGTAATGGGTAACTGGAAATTGATTTGTTTGATTGATTGAACCAATCTCTCGCAGCGGACGGTCGACGATGATCAGCAGAACCTAACGCCACCTTCAAACGCACCGCTTCGCAAACCCAGTGGGAAGAACAAGTGGCCGCCGCCGTCATCTCCGCCAGGAACACCCAATGGCACAACCACAACCGCCAATGGCACAATCACAACCGTCAATCGTTTCATGTCCGAGACTCCGAGATCCCCCAAGGTGCAGGTTCAGGCCAAACATCAAACAGAAGGCGGGCAGGTTAACGAGCTGTCCGAAAAGCTCAGGCTCAGGCGTTCCAAGCCAATCCAATGAGAAATTAGATTGTAACAACAACAAAAAAAAAAAAAAAAGAACAAACGAAATTGTACAAATCCCACAAACAGAATCGATTGATTGATTGATTGATCAGAACTCTGTATTGGAACTGAAAATTCTTGAACTTCAAATTCAAATTCATTCATTCAATTCCATTTTCTTCGAGTCAGTATATACACAGATGAGCAAAAAGTGAAGACGTCTTTGTGTTAGGTGGCGAGGCCAAGACAGAGGAGTGTGCGGCGGAATGCTCGGGAGAGAAAGGGGATGAGGGTGTGGGTGAAGAAGGAGAAGCACGGGCACGGAGAGAGCTTGAGGCAGAGGCGGCGGAGGAAGTTTGGGCCTGATGGGCCGGAGGTGGAGGACATGGGCTGAAGGTAGGCCCAGGCGGCCTGCTTCACGAGGCGGTTGCGGATGGAGATCTGGTAGCCGGAGTTGGCTGCAGTGGCGGCGGTAGGCGAGTTCACGGCGGAGGGGGAGGCGGATGAGGGGAGGAGGTCTTTGAGAGCGGTGTAGGTTGCGGAGCCCGCGCGGGGGGGGACGCCCGGCGGC